AAAAAAAAAAAAAAAAAAAAAAAGTGGACCACCCGAGGCGGAAAAAGAAGTAGATGAGAAATGGAGGAGCGCTACAGAGAGGAGAAAACAGAAGTGCCAAGGCAGGAACGGAGCGGGGAGAGCGGGAACAGGGGAGACCAAGGATGGACGGAAAGACGACAGGGGAGGCCGGGAGCAGGGCCCGCAGCGCGCCGGGCCGGACCACCGTTCCTCAGCGCGGGGGTGAGGGGCGGGGCCTAGGCCGCGGCGGGCCGCAGCGACCCCCGCGCCGAAGGCCGGATGGTTGCGCCCAGCGACGGCGGCCAATGAGCGGCCGGGATGTTGGCGTGCCGGCGGCGGTCCGGGCGCTCGCTGGCTGAGGGACGGCGGCCGCCGCCATGATGCTTGTTTGCTTTCAATGAAAACGAGGGGGGCGCGGAGGAGGAGGCGTCGGCGTCGGTGGCGGCGGCGTCGGCGGCGCGGAGGCGAAGGCAGCGGGCGGGCGCAGCGAGGAGGGCGAGGCCGGGGGCCGAGAGGGCGGGAGGGCGTAGTGGCGGCCCGCCGGGGCGGCTGAGGCGGGCGGCTGAAGCGGCGGCTCTCGGACGGGGAACAAAGAGCAGCGACTGAGGCGGAGAGGAGCGGCGGCGGCGCTGCAGCAGCGGGCGGGACTGGTATGGTGGTTCCACAGGTCAGACCCCGCTGCGCTCACAGGGAGGAGGCGGCGGCAGCGGCGGAGGAAGGCGGCGCACCCCGAGAGGTGAGCGAGGCAGGCCCGAGGCCCGGCCGGGGCGCCGCTTCTCTCTGCGGCCGCGCACGGACCGCCCCGTCGGCCGGCCTCGGTCGGGCAACTTGAGTTTCGTGGGCGGCGGGCTCGCCGCTCCCCGGGTGGCGGCTGTGGGGGGCCCTCGACGCGCCGCGATCCCGCCCCGCCCCGGGCCGCGCCCCCGAGCCGAGTCCCTGCTGGGGGGCGTTGATTGACGGCGGCGGGCGGAGGGGAGGGGAGGGGCCGGCGCTGGGCTCTGGGGTCCCGGCTGGTCCCGGCTGCCGTCGCCGGAGGAGCGAGTCCGTGTCCCGGGACTCGGGGCCAAGACGGTGGCAACTTCGGAGGAGCGGCTCTGTGGGTGGTTCGCGTGTGGAACTTCGCACTCCGTGGCCGCAGTTACTGTCGAGCGGGAAACCCGCTGCTTACCCCCCCCTAAAATGTTCTTAAAATGCAGTTTAACGCAGAGTTTTGGGGGAGAGGACGGGGCGGATTACAGGTTAAAGAAGCACTTAGCATGCAGTGAAGAGACTTGTTCTATAGTGTTGCTAAGGACTCGGAGATCGCGCTGGTGTCTAGAAGCAGTTTTCTCTGGGAACCCAAACTGCACCCCTCCTCTTTGTTTTTCAGCACTAATCGTTATTTTCTTTGGAAACTTCCTTTGACTCTTTACCTCCTTCGCCTCCCGCGAGGAGCCTGCTAACCAACACCTGTAGCCTTCTGTTTTTAACTATTACTGCCATTGACAACATTGTGAATGGTCATCTCGCTTGACCTTCTTGGATTTGTTGTTACTGTGTTAAGCTGATGTGTTTTAGATAATCTGCTTGAATTTGAGTTCCCATACTTACCTGTTTTCCAGGTGGATTGTCTCATTGTTAGCGCTGAATCTTCTTACCTACTTGTATCTGGGAATTTAACTTTGAAGAGGAAGAGAGTGAATGTGAATAACTGAAAAAATAAAATGGTGTGTAGTAGCACTTTGTATTTTTTACAATGTACTAGACTTTACCACTCCAGATTTGTAGGCTGTAGGAGTAGATGTGGGCCATTGATCAAAAGGGTGGCTTTTTTGGAGAATTGCTGTTAAGACGTTTATCACAGTATTTATTTAATTTATTTATTGTTTTTGAGACAGGATCTCACTCTGTCACCCAGGCTGGAGTGCAGTGGCACAGTTCTTGGCTCACTGCAGCCTTTGCCTCCTGGGTTGAAGCGATCCTTCTGCCTCACCCTCCTGACTAGCTGGGACTACCGGCAGACACCACCACGGCTGATTTCTAAAGTTTTTGTAGAGTCTTGCTTTGTTGCCCAGGCAGGTCTCCAACTCCAGAACTCAAGCGATCTTCCTTCCTTGGCCTCCCAAAGTGCTGCAATTACAGGCATGAGCCAACATGCCTGGCCATCACAGTCTTTAGAATGTTGTGACTTTTAGAGTAAAATTAGAATAAAAATGGCTTAGTATCTTTAGATCTGTGATCTACTCCAGGTGTTTTGTTTTAAACAAAATATTTGAACAGCTGCTAATGAGAAAACAGACCTAGAAAGGTGGAGGTGACTTGCCCATGATACTGTAATTACGAGGGGAAAGACTGGGTTTGTGTGCATGTGAGAGCACAGGAGTGTGTGACCTCATTACTAGAGGTTTGTTCTTTTGGGAGGGTAGAGGGTATTTTAATGGTTAGAAGTTATTTCAGGTCACTTCTCAGTAGGTGAACGAGATGCTTAATGAAATGGTCAAAGAAGATTATGTAATTGCCAAGCATGATGGCTCACCATGTAATCCCAGCACTTTGGGAGGCTGAGGAAGGAGGATGGCTTGAGCCCAGGTGTTTGAGACCAGCAAGACCCTGTCTCAGAAAAATATGAAATATTTAAAGCCTGTGATAACTGTCACAACGTAGTGAGACCCTGTCTTGATCAGTTTTTAAAAATGGTGACAAAAGACATAGATATTCTTATGAGACTGAAGATTTTCTCTGAAAGCCAATCATTAATTTCCATAGTGTCTTGATAGTGGTGATGCAGCCTAGGCAGCTCCTTTTGAATATGCCTGTTCAATTTGTAGGTATTTTCAGGTTTCTTAAATGTTGTTGGCAAAGTAAAACTACAATTATTGGGAAATTTCAAACTATTTTCTTTTGAGCAGACAAGGTTGGTTTATAGAATTTGGTCCTAACTACAAATGTGTAAAGGCATTGTAGGAATTTGCCCACTGTACCTGTAGTTTAAAAGTATGCATTTTATGCCAGGTGCGGTGACTCACACCTGTAATCCCAGCACTTTCGGAGGCCAAGATGGGTGTATCACCTGAGGTCAGGAGTTCGAGACCAGCCTGGCCAATACGGTGAAACCCTGTCTCTACTAAGAATACAAAATTAGCCAGGTGTGGTGGCGCATGCCTGTAATCCCAGCTATTCAGTAGGCTGAGGCAGGAGAATTGCTTGAACCCAGGAGGCAGAGATTGCCACTGCACTCCACCCTGGGTGACAAGAGTGAAACTCAGTCTCAAAAAAAAAAAAAAAATATGCATTTTGGTTAATGCTTAGACATTCCAGTACCCATATTTGCCTTCTTATATTCTTTAAAGCATAAACCTTTTTCGTGGTGCAACAGAAAAGGATAATATATGTAAGACATACTGAAATAAATGTTAAGGCAGCTCACAGCTATATTCGTTGGGCCATTAGGGGTGAGGGATCAATATGTTCAGCACATTTAGAACCCATTCCCATATGTAAGTAAGGTCCACTGGTTTGGGAAGCTGTGCTTTAAAGCATTTATCACTTTGAAAAAGTCCTAATAGGCTCAGCTAAAAATGTATGTTTTACTGGGAAAACCAGAGTTGAATTTGTAGATATCTTTATACCCGTTACTCAAGGTAGTCATTTTACAACAAAGTGTGATTAATAAAACACTATGTATCTGAAATTAAGAATTGCTGAGGCTGGGCGTGGTGGCTCATGCCTTTAATCCCAGCACTTTGGGGAGGCCAAGACAGGCGGATCACCTGAGGTTAGGAGTTCGAGACTAGCCTGACCAACATGGAGAAACCCTATCTCTACTAAAAATACAAAATTATCTGGGCGTGGTGGCACATGCCTGTGATCCCAGCTACTCGGGAGGCTGAGGCAGGAGAATTGCTTGAACATGAGAGGCGGAGCCGAGAGCACACCATTGCACTCCAACCTGGGCAAAAAGAGTGAAACTCCGTCTCAAAAAAAAAAATTGTGAATAAACTGTAAACATATACTGTATGCATAGCTGGGGTGCATTAGAGTATAATGGAATGTACTGTATTTTGGTACTTGAATAAGTAGCGAGGTTGGGGGTTATTTGATCCAAGATGGGGACTCATTTAGGCTGTCTTCACTTTACCTCTCTCTGGTCTTTATCTCTCCTTCGTCCATTTATATTTTCTTGGTAACTTAAGTTACATGTTAAGGTATGTACTGGTCACAGTGTTTTTTGTTGTTGTTGTTGTTGTTGTTGTTGTTACGGAGTCTCACTCTGTCGCCCAGGCTGGAGTGCAGTGGCGCCACCTCCACTCACTGCAAGCTCCGCCTCCCAGGTTCAAGCCATTCTCCTGCCTCAGCCTCCCGTATAGCTGGGACTACAGGCGCCGCCACCACGCCCGGCTAATTTTTTTGTATTTTTAGTAGAGACGGGGTTTCATTGTGTTAGCCAGGATGGTCTCGATCTCCTGACCTCGTGATCCGCCCGTCTCGGCCTCCCAAAGTGCTAGGATTACAGGCGTGAGCCACCGCGCCCGGCCAGTCACAGTGTTTTAACACTGAGAATTCAAAGACAAATAATACTCTGATTTTGCCCTCTCATAGCGTATAGGCTTAATAGGTGCACAGAGTGCTGTGGGAGAACGCAATAGAGAATGATTAAACTTGCGGAGGGTGTGGGGGCAGTTTACGGAAAATAACACTGAATAGGATTAGCCAAACTGGGGAGAGGGAGTCATGTTAAACAGAAGAAACTGTGGGTACACTGAGGTGTCAAGTGTTAGGGTAAGACTAGTGATAAGGTGTTATTGGAACAGTGGGCATGACTCGAGATGAGCCTGCAAAGGTGTGTCTGGTCTAGATTTTGAAGGACCATGCTTGCTAAGCTAAAAGTGAAGTTTCTACCTGTATCTTACAGCAGAAGAGAGAGCCAAAATATTTTTAGCAGGGGAGCAAGGTGATTTAGAGATCACTTTGGCATCCCTGTGGAGAATAGAGTGGAAGCCGTACAAGTATATATTTGAGGTATTATGGAGTTAGTGACTTTGGATCTATTTTTCCTTTTGGTTTTTCTTTTTTTTTTTGAGATGAAGGCTCTTTCTGTCACCCAGGCTAGAGTGCAGTGGCATGATCTCGGCCCACTGCAACCTCCGCCTTCTGGGTTCAAGCCATTCTCTTGCCTCAGCCTCCCGAGTAGGTGGGATTACAGGCTCCTGCCACCATGCTGACTAATTTTTTTGTATTTTTAGTAAAGACAGGGTTTCACCATGTTGGCCAGGCTGGTTTCAAACTCCTGACCTCAAGTGATCTGCCCGCCTTGGCCTCCCGAAGTGCTAGGATTACAGGCGTGAGCCACCGTGCTCGGCTTGGATCTGTTTTTAACTTGGATATGGTGTCTCCTGAGTCTGTGGTCCCTTAAGGGACTTTAGGGCTATGCCTAGTTGCTGTATAATACAGGGTCATTTAAAATCAAAATGTCAGTATGTTTTGGAAGAAGTTAAAAACAGTCAAAGCAATGAAAATCATAAAATAGTACTCATGAAAGTTCAGGTGTTGAGAACACTTGTCTTCTGAGTTAGGCTTAGGCAGGCTATAAACCTTAAGCTGGAAGATTCAACCCTATGCCCAGTTGAAATCAAAGCCACCAAGCTTAAAAAGTTATCAGTATCCTGATGGTTTGCTAGGATATGCGTTGTAAAAATTTTGTGAAATTTTGGGATGACAGTTTCCTCTTTAGTAAATTATTGGAATTGGAATAGTGAGACTAACTTAAGGTCTAAGAAGTTCTTATACAACTGTTAATTTATACAGTCAGTTTGCTGTAAAGCAACATACAGGTTCCTAAAAAATCACTCCTTTGCAGAATTGTACAGTAGAAATGACTGACAAATGGGGTTGTCAGTGACACATTTAAAAAAGGAAGCTTTATCAGTGACACATTTAAAAAAGGAACCTGGTAAAAATGATAGAACAGTTTTACACGTGTTGAATGGTTAAGAAATATATAGATACTGTAATAAATGTGGCATTTTGCCTTGAAAAGGCCTGGTTTGCTTGTGGAAAGGGATGTCAGAAAGGTTGCTGCTTGTGAGTTACTGTGAAGTGGTAGAAGAATTACGTATAATCAGATGGAAGGTTGTAACACCAGAAGCGAATAGGTGTGGCCCTTAACACGTAGTGAACTGACTTAGCTGGTAGGTGTTTGAAGGGTGTTTCAGGTATTTCTACACAGTTCAGTTCAACTGGGTGCAAACTTTCTCCCTTCATCTAGTGTTTACGTGACAAAATAGCACATAAATAAACAGGAGGTACGGCTTGTGCTCAAATTGTTCTCTAATTTGTGTATCAGTTACACTGGAACAAGTTCACCTTTTCCTTTCTTTTTTTTTCCTTTTTCTTTCTTTTCCTTTTCCTTTTCTTTATTGACAGGGTCTCACTGTGTCACCCAAGCTGGAGTGATGATGACTTGCTGCAGCTTTGACCTCCCAGGTTCATGCGAGCCTCCTGAGTACCTGGTATCACAGGTGTGTGCCACCATACCTGGCTGATTTTTCTTATTTTTAGTAGAGATGAGGTCTCTCTACGTTGCCCAGTTTGGTCTCACACTCTTGGGCTCAAGCAGTCCTCCCGCCTTGGCCTCCCAAAGTGCTAGGATTATAGGTGTGAGCTCCTGTACCTGGCCAAATTCACGTTTTGTTTTTCTTTCCTTTTTTTTTTTTTTTTTTTTGAGACA